CATCGTTTGGTAGATGACAAGGTCTGCTGGAAATTCAGGGAACTCTACCAACCATGACGGCGACACCGATGACAACGATAAAAAAAATTCTCGCTACTAAACTTGAATGTGTTTAGCGTCTTGTTTCAGAAGTGACCCCCTCACTGTTGAATTGGAAAAAACAATTTGGTCATTTCACATGTTGAATGTAGAACAAACATGTTAAGCGAAGACTCTGCTCCTTCTGTTTGAGAGCGTTTTCAATGCTGTTGAAATTATGTTTACCAAAATTTGACGTTCGGTGACAGAAGTCACTGCCAGCCTCAGTCAAAACAAATCTTTACTCGTACGAAGCATGGCGCTTCTGTTCATTTGATCTATTAATTTTTCCCTTTTTAGGTCATAGGAGCCTTCATTGGTTCAGAAAGGACCTGAGACTTCACGACAATCCCAGCCTGCGTGAATGTCTCGCAGACAGCAAGGTGTTTTACGGAGTGTACTTCTTGGAGTGTTCTGCTGAAGATAAGATGACTGTCAGCCCAAACCGCTGGCATTTCCTGCTTCAGTCACTTCAAGACCTCGACAGGGGTCTTGCTCAGTGTGGTTCACGTCTTTTTGTGCTGAAGGGAAGACCTATGGACATGCTGCCTTCACTTTTTAAAGAGTGGGGCATCACTCGGCTGTCGTTCGAGGTTGATTGTGAGCCATTTAGGAAGAGCAGGGATGCGGTCATCACTGGTCTTGCTAAACAAAGTGGAGTTGAAGTGATCAGCCGTGTTTCACACACTCTTTATGATGCTGAAGTGCTGTTGATGTCAACTGAGGGAAGAGCACCACAAGTGTTTGATGAGTTTATGGAGGTTGCATTGCAGCTAGGAAGGCCACAGATGCCGGCACCAAGGGTCAATAGACAGCTGTTTGGCTCCTGTTTGACTCCTGTAGCGAGAGACCATAACCAACAATACGGAGTACCTACCGTGGAGGAGATAGGCTTCCAAAAACCAGCTGCTACCAGCTCTTGGTTTTACCCAGGTGGAGAGCAGGAGGCTTTAACGAGAATGGAAGCAGCTTTGCAAAAGGTATGACTCCTTTTGCTATGCATATCCCTGTAGTTTGTAATTTAGGTGCAGTACTCCTTGCACAGCCTTGCATGCATTTGACATTCTTTTCTTTTGAGAAGTGTGCCCAACGGAGTTCAGAACAATCTCTGTTTTGCAAAGGGAGGAAATAACGTGTAAGACAAACAACAAGGAAAAAAAATAAGTGTTACTCCCTCTTGTTTTAGTCATTATGAAAAAGCTTCTAATAAGGGATGTTGTACCTGTAGGAATTGTCTGTACGTCACGTATTATACGGTAACTGCAAAAATTCTCGCGTGCTAATTGGAGCTAATTGGAGCTAATTGGCGAATTTTCAATGTCAATAAGCGGACAGACGATAACGATGTTGTTATAGTAAAAACCAAATTGACTTCAATTTTTCATGCGTCTGTCCTGTCATTGTCGATGAATTTCGTCACAGCATTGTCAAAGTAGCTGTGGATTTACGAGGCGATAGCCGAGTCAACACATTGTTATGACGAAATTCATGATCAATAAC